ATCAAAGTGTGTGTAACTGCTATGAGGAATAAATGGATAATGTTTCTGGGCCTGATGTATTCCCATGGATGGCTCAAAAGCACTCTATCAAAGGTGATGACCAAGGGAGACTGATTAGCAAAAAGCCCAGGACTGAAAGTACTGAGAGAACAAACAGACTTTAGTACAAAGCCAGTGCAACAAAGTGGAAGCAATTAAAAACTCAGATTAACTTTTTAAGCGGTAATTTAAAATAACTCCTTTCATGTTTAAATGGATTATAGTATTTGGCAGGATTCTATATATAGAATTTGGATACTTTTATTTACTACTTATGCTTTCCTGGTAGCAACCAGTTTCTCTTTTGGTGACCATGCTTGTCTTGTCCACTTACAGATGGATGAAACCTCTTTTACAATGACGTTTTTTGGTGAGGGTTACAGTGAGGGACAAGATCCCCAGAATGCCAAACCAAATGTGAAGATCTGCACTGAAGTGAAAGGACCAGGTATGTATTTTGCCTAGCAGTCCCTGCTCTAAAATACATTTCTGATTGCACTGCTGTCCCTTTCACCCTTGAGAAGCACTTGCAACAGGAACAAAGCCAACGGCCTTCACAGTGTATTAACTTGGATACTAGAATTCATTGTGACTTGGTTTCTGAAATAGCCAGTTCACTTGCATTCTTGTGAATCTCTTTACTCTGACTTTCCCTGGTCTGATTTTCATTTTTGCAGAGCAGACCTTTTGAAGGAAGAGGGGTTTAAGAATAGTTTTTAGTTGTTACAGCCTGGACTTAGTACTTGGTTTATTTCCAGCTCCCAGAGAGTGAACTTTAACAGGTCTGGTGTGGTATAATTTCTGACTATTATATACTTTTGTTCAGGTCATTCCTTGAGGAGACATGACATCTGAAGTTTGGAGAGAGCAAGAATGTACATTCAGAAATGAGTTACTGGAGTACAGCTTGTTTAAATAACTAGAGATGTGGCAGAATGCAAGTGTTGCATGGTAAAATTCTGCATTGAAGTACAGGATGGGGAAAACTCTTGCTGTGTCAGAAAGCCCTCTGTCACCATGATGTGGTCACTCACAGTTGTGTAGTTAGAGGCCATTATGTGAATCGGTATTTGTCTGGATTAGATCTTAAGGATTTCACCAGCTACTCGGTCTGTTTACTGGGTAAAAAAAAGCTGTTCTTAAATGGGAAAGGCTGTTTCATTGCTAAAGACATTATTCTCCAGAATGCTGTAGGGAAGAGCAAGATTACATTCCACATTTCAAGGCACCGTATTTCATTGGGGGGTTTTGGTTTGGTTTGTTTTTTTTGTCAGAGCCTGGATATGTTGCTACACCAATTGCAATGGTTCAAGCAGCTCTATCTCTTCTGGAAGATTCAGCTTCTCTGCCTAAACAGTAAGTACCTTCCCATGCTGAGCAGCTTGCTCTCCCTTAAAGCTACTATGTGCAAATGTTTCTCTTTGAAAATACATTTAATCAGCCCTGTGGATTTGTGTTACCTCACCCAACTGGCTGTGCAAGGGAGATGGTTCACTGCAAGCTGATTTAAAGCCACTTGCTCTTCACCAGCCAATCAGTAGTCATAGGCTTCTAGTCAGGCCTTGGCATCCATGTCTTTATGTTCAGTTAATGGAGTGGTTTCTATAGAGCTTGCTGGATGCAGAAATGAACCTAGGATTATAATCACCCTGGCAGATTCCTCACCCACTCTCTTCTCAGACTAAGTGGCTTTTTCTTTCTTAGTCAGGGAAGCACATCTCTAGCTTAACAAAAGGTGTCCCTCAATCACTCTGCCACTAATGTTTCTCCTTTTTGATTTTCACTTGCAGGGGTGGTGTGTATTCCCCAGGAGCTGCCTTCTCGAAAACAAAACTGATTGATCGCCTCAACAAGCGTGGTATTGAGTTCTCTGTTATTAGCAAGCCTGAAGTCAGAACATAACTGTATGAACTAACACCTTTCCTGAGTATAACTCTAATAAAACCCATTTGGCTGCAAAAGCCTAATCATAAAACAGTTTCACTATGCTATTGTTTGCAGCAGAAACAGAAGAAAATTCAAGTTAAAAGCTATAATAGTATTTGCTATAGTGAGCAAACCCCTAAAGGGTGGGTATTGAGTGTTAATTCACAGACATATTAAATTGGTAACTTCTTGGGTACTAATTCTGGAATCTTAATCTCATTATCTAAGTTCAAGTTCCTACTTCATGGACCCACTATACCATCTGCTTCACAAGTAAGCATAGCTGCCTTGCTTTGCCCCATTCTGCAACTATGTAAAGCAGGCAGCCTGGAAACAGAAGTGCCTTAGCAGATAAGCTACTAGTTATTTCTAATGTGTGTTTGGTGTATGTCTTTATTAACATCTTCAATTAATCTTTCCTTTATTTAATAATTGTTGTTAGTGCAGATCTATGTGTAGTTTCTGTAGTTAGGTAAGTAGTCATGAACTGTATTGTGCTTTTGCTTCTGTAAAGAAGGAGGCTTGTTCTGTTGATTGTTTTTGGAATCTGACCTGATGTGATCCAGGTTCTGGGTGCACTGACCTGTTTCACACTACTTGATACTGTGGTTGATGAGCCTGCTTTTTGTTGTTAGCCTAAGAATTATAAGAGTGTCTTGTCCTGCTCTCTGATTTCTGGGTTTGTATTTGTGGGCAGTGGAACCTTTGAGTCACGGGAATCTTTGAAAGGTAGCCTTCATGATTTTCAGGAGTGTGAATACATTAAATTCTGTTTCCGTGTAGAGGCTTTTTTTGTTGTATCAGTAGAACTTGTAAAACCTATGAGAGTTACTCTGAGATACTTAAGGTCACAAAAGTCTCTATCTCCCTCAGCTGTTTCACACTGACCTTTATTATTCTGAGGCAAATCACATACAGATTGATGCTTTGTAGTCTCATAGCTGTGTCGAAGATTGCTTTATGGATGTAGTTCACTATATGGTGGGGTTTTAGGTGCTGCTTCTTAAGTTTATGCTGTCACTGCACTGTCTTCAGTAACCTAAAGTTAAAAAATGTCTGTTAATGCTTTATTCAGTAGCAAGCAGACTAATTTCACACCGAGCTAGAAGAAATTCAAGACACAGAAAAGCTGCTTTTCCCTTCCACTCACCCCTGAATGTGAAACATACGTACTACGTTACAGCTGAGAGTTTATGTATTTGAGGCACAGGGATCAGAGCAGTTCCTGTGTGCAATTCACATGCTCTGTTTCTCTTCAGAACTGACCATTTGCCACTGCCCATGACCAGGAGCAGTTTTCCAACACAAGGTGTGTACACGTCCAGGGGTGCCCATCACATAGCAGTGCCCTCTGGCTGTGGAGCAGTGCAGAGTGACCCACTGCCTCTGACAGGGTAAAATACAATTGGGTCCCCAGTGCTTAAAGATTCAGTTATGATAACAAGTTATTTTTCAAAATTCCTGAAGAAACAAAATATAGCATCTTGTTGCCTACAGTGTTCTCTCCTATCCCCGTAATTTTTGCAATTTCTACGCTGCTCTTTTAAAAGGCACATAACCCTTATTCCACAAGACAGTGTTTTCAATTGCTGTATTCCAGATGCCAGTCAACAGAGCAACAGCCGCAGCTTATTTCTGCACTAATTAATCAATCTGCACACAAGATGAAGGGATAGTGCTGTAAAAATACCTACATATCCTCATGTAGCAGTGTTCAGGTTTTCCTGGCTCAGAAATGTTTTACAGTATTGAAAGAGTTAGAAAGGAGAAGGATGAAGCTAGTTCAATAGTATAGATGATATTTCCTAACAAGAAAAAGGTTATAATTCAGGGAGATGGCAGTGACTGGAAATACAGTTTAACACAAACCACCTGATAGGCAAAACTGCTGCAGAGAGTCATCACTGAATCTGACAGAGACTGACATCACTGACATTGCTCAGTTGTCATTCATAACACTGGATTAAGAGTTTGAAGCACAGTTCTTAATTGTAGAAATGCACATCAAACTAGACAAAGCTACTTGGCACTTAAGTAATGACATGGTTAAGCCACAAATTGCATCTTTAGGCAGCTAAGTACAGACTGAAAAGTCCAGGTTGAACTTTGTTCCATGCAATAAAAACAAGTGTATTTCTCAAAGCTGTGGGACAAGGTGACCGCTGCAATTAACTGAAAACTAAACTTTCCCTCTCTTTCCATTTTACTGCTGGAAAAGGACTGTGTATACAATAACTACATGCATGCAAAAAGTATCTCAGCATTTGAATCCAGGGGTTTCATTTTAAACAAAGCAGATCACAAGCTTCTGGTTTGGTTGGTTGCTACTGACTTTTTAAAATACAAACCTTGACCACAAGGCGCGTTTCCAGTACATTCAGCTCTGATGCCCTTGGCAGATTGTTTTGGGAGCTGGAGCGATGCGCGTTTGCTCTCAGGGGGCTGGATGCCACAAAAGAAGTAGAAGCTCTGCATGGGGACTGCTGCTGGGTCTCATCCTGTGCCACAGAGCGGGAAGGAACAGGATGAACCACCAAATCCAGCAACCTGTTAAAATACTCATTTTACACTAGGAAAATCAAGAAATAAATTAAAAAAACCACATGCTGTGATGCTGACAACACGAACACTCAGTGAACAAGAAATACAGGTAAACCCTCACTGCTGGGGTGATAGATTAGGCCCACATAGAAGTGACAGGCACTTCTTTCTATTCGTCTGTTAAAGTGTACACCAAGAGCTTGGTGGTGGTCAAAGCTTTAGTTTCAGCTGTCTTAAACTCTGTAAACACATTTCTCATAATGTAAACACATGTATTTGCCTAACTAAGATTATCATAGCAGAAAAGTATGTTTCTCCACATAGTACTTATGATGAATTGTGTCTCAAACGTATATTTTATGTGCAAAAAAAGCAAAACAAACCTATTTTCACATGTACCTTCCCACCAAGACACATAATTCAAAGAGATTTCTCTCCTTTTTCTGTCTCCCTTCAAACACATAGAACAAGGGTAAACTTTGTGAAAAGGCTGCTTACTTCTTATATTCCGAGAACTTGGTTGTCTTGTTTCCTAGCCATGCTTCTTTAAATCTGGACAGTACTTTACTGATGAAACTTGTTCTTGTATGCACATTTCCTGCATTAGCCTGCCTTGTTGCTGTTGATAATGGCTTTGGCCTTGGGACTGTAAAGCAAGAGGGAAAAGTATCAGCCTTGTGTATTCAAAGTGATGGCCAGCTGCACATCCTAGTTCCCTTCTCTAAAATTACCTTCTCTTAAGACTGATGAAGGCAAACGGTACGGCTTGGCTCTCTCTACTGCCAGCTTCCTTTGAACTGTGGGAAGGATCTTGATATATTGGTCTAAGAGAGAATTTCTGGCTACTGCTCTCTCTCTCAAGCGAGGATCACGACCATTCTGACAAAGGAAATGTGTAAAGCAAGAAGTTAACAATTCACTGAAGTTCATTGCACAGGATGTCTCTGCTCTTTCCAACTAAGGCCTAAATTTGCTCTACAGACAAAGGACAACAAATCCACTGCACAGAACCACAGCAAGGTCCACCCAGGAGCACACACCAATTTCACCTGGTAGTTTCGGATAAGTGCAAAGAAGACTGGAATAAAAGCAGAACATAAAACTCCTAGTTAAAAGGACTCTGGCACTTTGCAGAGCCTTATTCTTACGTACATACTTTTTAACACATGCAATTTTCAAATGGCTTATGGAAGAGCAGGCTTTCCCCTGGTTATCATGAAATATAGATGTCTGAGATTACTGAATACACAGGGCAACTGCAAATTATGTTGGACAAAATGATGGGAAAATTAGGAAAATCTACTTAGACACACGTTCTGTCTGGAACACAGTTTTCACACACTTAAACTTTCCAAGACTACCTTTTAAGTTTGATTTACTGGAAAAATACACTTTCAAAAAGCAACACATGCACCAGAGATCCCTAAGAGAAGTTCACATAATGCAGAATTTGATCTGGATATTTTGAGAAACATAAGTTAGAATTCATGTCATAAAATTGGTAGCATGAAACTACTGGAATCAGAGAGCTTGCATGCGCTATAATTTAAGAAAATAAAAAACCCAAAACCACAACTAAACCCCACTACACATATTGGACCTGTTGAGCATCCAGACTGCTCTTGGGTAAAAGCAAGATACAAGATGTGACATACAACATACTCTTTATTCCACAGAAAAAACTGACACAAATAACTTCCCTAGCTAAACCATATATAACAGCAGGATTTGAGGAACTGAATGAAAATATGGGATCGTAGAAAAGATACCTATTTTTTGTCAGATACAAACAAACTTTCAGTGGAGTCAAGCACTGAACAGTTAATTTATAACTTCACACGGCAGTTTGCAGTAGTAAAATTATTTCACCCACCTTTTAGGTTGAGTTGTAACTTGACATGTAGGAACTTATTCCTATTCTTTCAAAGAGTGGTATAAAAGACAAAGCAAGATTTTTCTTGAGGACTATCAAAAGTGATCAGTCACACTGACAGAAATATGCATACTCAGCAGGACTGTTACCCTTACCGTCAGATTGGCCTTCATGGATTGATTCAGCTGGAGTGCTGGGATGTAGTTGGCACGCTGCAGATGGTGGACTAAGAGGAATTCATGGTTCTGAACACCAGATTTGGTCTGTAAAAACTTCTCCAAACACTCCTGTGAGAAATAACACATTTCAGACATCATTACCATTCTGCCTCTTCTCTTGCCAAACAGACAAGGGTTTTTTTTGTTTCTTCTCCAAACTCACTTTTTCTGTGTCTGTGAAGGGCAGCTTCAGCAAATCCTCCATCAGTCCCATCTCCTGACAGATTTCATACATGTGCTTTAGCAACTCTTCTATGTTTAACTTCGTGGTGTGTTGCTGCAACAGACCCCAAGCCTCCACCATGCACCTGCAGTTAAGGTTTAGGACATGGAAAGGAATGGGAACACTGAGGCCAAAAAGATACCCCACAGTGATAGTATCCATTCAAAGCTCAAAGGAAATGGAGGGGAGCCCCTCCATTTTTGTGCCATCAGTTCTCCACATTTCCCAAGATGTGAATGCCAGGAGTGGAGGTTTCCTTACCTATTGGACAACAGCACGGTGAGGAACAGCCGCACCTCGCTGCTGCTGGACATCGACGGCTTCATCATCTGCATGTACCTGAGGGCTCGCCTGTGCTCCCCCTGGCACATCAGGGACTGGATTATCCTCATGTGTTGCCATGACACAGTCTTGAGTGTAGCTGGATGGAAGAGCAGGGCCAGGGAATTCTGGACAAGTTGAGAACAACTTCATTACCAGAGATACACACACCCATGCAACAAAGAGTCAAAACTTTCTGCAGCAAGGCTGGATGTGCGTTAGACCAACTTAGAGGTCTCAATAACAAAATACTTGATCCAGGACACATCAGCAGCAAGGCTGGATGTGCATTAGACCAACTTAGAAATCTAAATAACAAAATACTTGATCCAGGACACATCAGTAGAAATTCTTCAGGTATTTGCAGGGAAAAAAATCAGCGATAAAATTTTGAATGTCTTAAAAGGAACCATTCAGATTTTTCTAAGTTCATGAAACTCTGTGGACAAACATCCCTTTTTATAAATACATTACTAAATAATAAGTTACTCGACAATCAAATTGGTTCTATTCGTATAGTGACAGGTAAAAAACCTAAAGCATTAGGAAGATCAGGCTGACATATCACTCCTGCAGTCTTTTTTGTCTCAAATGTTCCTGCTACCATCAGTTTCCATGCTTCAAGTACCAAAAAACTCTTTTAGAATCAGTGCCCAACCAGTCTGCTGAAAACCTCCTAAAACAGAGATGGCTTTGCAAATTCAAATATTAAGCATTATTTATGCTGATTATGCCTTTGTTTCAATCAATTTCTGTCAAAGTAGTTAAAATTTCAAATCATTAACTTGTTGCTGAAGATGTCAAACCAGTGTTAAAAAAAAAAGCTTCTTATGCTCTTAGGTGCTTGTAACACCTAAGTACCAATTTAAAAAAAATTGTTATTGGTTACAGCTCTGCAGTGTAATGTGTGTCTAACTCAACTGTTTCATACTTACTTCATAATCATTGTGATCTAGAAGCCAAAACCCTCGAATCAGCTTAACAAGACCCCAAGGGATAGCAAAGGCAGTTGGAAAGGAGTCAATTGAAGTTTCTGTTTTATTTGGAAAGATATGGATGATATCCAGCAGCAAGTAAATTGTCTGAGAGTATCTAATTAAGGCAAATAAATCGCTAAGACCAAAAACTTGTATCACAGTACACTTAGCAAAACAATGAAATAAGAATATGAAAATTGTAGAAAGCAGAACATCCCAAGGTATTGATCTTGCCATTTTAAGCTATAAAAACATATTGTATCAATAGTCAGGTCCTAATCTCAAAACTATATTCTGAATATACTTCCAGAAAGAAACACTTGTGGATTTCTGGAAGGCAATCAAAAAGGCAGCTATTGGGTGTTTATATACTGCTCTTACAAACCCAGGCTTCTGCTTCTGTCAGTGAAGCTACCAGTTGGACACTCAACACACTTCAACATCCAATACTTAATTATTAAAGAAAACAAACTCTAGAGCTGTTTTATTCTCCTCATTTCCTGTCTTCACAAAACCAACATAAATTGTGGTGCCCTTACAATGCAACTTAGCACTGACTGATTGAAATTGTGTTTAAAACTGCATGTGGATCATGTCTGAGTAAGGCAGCTTGGGACCACAACCATTTTTAACCCTTTGCTTTCCAGCCTCCTTTCTTCGTTTAGCCAACAAACAACAAAGGAAAGTCTGCATATTCCAGCAGCTTAAAAATTAGGCTTCAGCCCAATGACTGTTCTCAACCCCCTCTTTATTATTCTGTGTGCTTGTACTTTTTACACAAAAAAAAGCAAACACTGTTAGCTGGGCTGGGAAACAAATCAGCAACTGGAAAACCATTCCTACAAACCCTTCTGTTCTGAAGCAGCATATTTCAGGCACTGTTCTAACACACAGTCCTTTACTACAGAAAGGAGTGCTTAAAAAAATTAAAAACTATTATGTTTTGAAAGAAACTAAGTGAGGTTTTTATCTTGAATATTTTAGGGAACCTGTTTGCTTGTATCAGAAAAGAATTTGCAAAAAAACACATAGGTGACAAACATGTAAGAACATTTATGTTGTTATTACTGAAGGAGAAATAACAGAATCTGGAAAGGATACAATTGCATGTTTGTCGCTTTCTTCAATGCTTTCTAGCAAATAGAGATCCAGCAGTGCCTGAAATGAAAGATGAAAAGGTTTTCTAATGCTCCTGTCTTTCAACATCATTGGCTTTAGGGGACTGCTGCTGCTGCTGGGGTTTCCAGTGAACACAACACTCACATGTAAACTAGCAGGTGGGTATCTCCCAGTGCCGCCTTCATCTCTCCGCCACAACTTCTCCACTTCCTCTCCCAACTGGGAAACCATTCCATCAATCATCAAGCAATCAGAATCCCATTTGCCTCTGCAACAAAAGGGACCAAGGGCTTGCACAGAGTAAAACACTCATTCCAGCCTCTCAGTGTCACAGATTTCGGGAGTCAGAGCAAAGATGGTCCTTAGCTCACAATCATCTTATTCATTAAGGAGTCCAACGCACAAACCCAAGAGAAGAGTTGCAATGACCTTTTGGGTTCCAGGCTTGCTTTCATGCTCTGTTACGTGTAATGCCAAGGAGTGCAGACAAAGGCTTTTAACTGCAAAAATAACCACACTCACACAGTCTAACAGTGGCAGCTTTCTAGAGAATTCCTCTAAGTCTTACCTTGATAAGCGCTCCAGTTTCTGTCGGTGACCCGTATAGTAGCTCTGAATCAGAGGGTAATTGTAGAAAGGTCTGGACAAATGCATGTGATCATCTTGATCATCTACAGGTGATAAAGTAAAAGCAAGTTAAAGTAAGACCACGTTTTTCAACTAAAACTTTGGTCTAGACAGACAGAAACCACACAGCCTCCAGAAGCCTCCAACTCTCAATCCAATCCTGTTTCTGCCTTTGCTAAAGGAGAACTAAGACAAAACTACTACTGCTGCAAACTGCAGAACTACAACTACTTCTTGTCTCAAGATCAGTTTCATGTTTGCGGTTGATGCTGCATTCAGAGCATGTAGGATAAGCTCAAGGCTACTCCTAAATAAACAACTCTCAAAGGGAATGATTTTTTGAATATGTGAGCATCTGTAAAATAATTAAAGCTGAAAATGGAATTTATAAGGTGTCTCAATTAAGAGCATTTCCAAGGTGCACTTTCACCTCGAGCAATAAATCAAAGGTTCAAAACATGCAGGTACTGCTTTTACTGTCAAAATGAATGTGCTGGTACTACAGGTTCTGCTTACCTAAACTTTCGGGAAGAAGACTGGATCGACAGAACCAGATCACCACTTGTACATACAAAAATATGAGGCTGGTTACCATCTGCTTATTTGTCAAATCTGAAAAACCTGAAAGAAAGGCAAAACATGATTTGAGTTTTGCAATTCCTTTCATTTTACAAAACCCCCTTTGCAGAACAAACAAAGTGTGAACAAACACAGTGGAAACCTGTCTTTGTAGTTGTCCCTCTGGAACACTTATGAATTTGAAGGAAAAAAACCACCATTCCACCCCCCACCAAAAAAAAACCCAATCACTACAAAGAAACAGAATCACAAAAGATTAAAATTGAAAAATAAAGCCTAAACTATAAGATACACTCAAGAAGACAAAATTTGTTTTCCATGTAGCAGAGATTTTTGCTTTGGCCAAAAAGATTATAGTCCTCTTTTTCCCTCAACATGCCAACAACAATTTTTAAAATCAGAAGCCAAAAAAGCTCAAGGAAATTGCTTTACTCATTTTGGTTTCCTTTCTATTTCCCAGCAATGTGCACACAACTATCAATTGCTAGCTAACAATTGGGAACACTTCTCAGCATTACCACACTCTGTTGCTGCAATTGCTGCGCCCAGGTCCTTATTCAGCTCAGTGCTGAACCAGTGCACCCTCTCCTACCCAGCCTCATGAACTCCACAACAAGCTGCTCCCCTGCACTCAAAGTGGCTTAAATCAAAGTCCCAACTGATCAGATTTAAGCCTCTCCTCCCAGCTCAACCTGACTCTCTCCCAACCACCCAAAACAACAATGGCTCCTGTCTCCACCGTTACAACCCAAGCATCTTCCAAATGTTAACTATCAGACCAAAGGCCTAGCAGGGCTCTCACCAACCTTTCTCTGTAAGCTCTCGGGCTTCTGTTAGGAAACAGTTCAGGACTGTGCTGAGGTTGCTCAGCAGCAGCTGGCAGTGCTGGAGGGACTGTAATGTCTGGGGGTCAATGAAGTTGCAGGAGCCATCAAACAGCGGAACACCTTGTCAAGGAGAAATATTGAATCATCACTCAGCAGAGCAACTGCACACTTCCAAACTTCAACACTTCAACAACCACAAGAGACTTCAAGAACCACTTAAAGAACCAGCAGCATACACTGGCAGAGGAGTGAAGAAGATCCTTTACAAAGAATGACTCCAGGTTTCAAAAACCACCACACCACTACTCACATATTTGGTCCAGTTCATCTTTTGTACAGATCACTTTGTTCCACGTCCACTCAAGAACAAACCGTAAATTTACAGCAGAACTTGGCTGCTCTTTAAAAACAGAAAACAAAAAGGACATGAAAGCCACAATTTCTAACCAAAACACACACACCACATAAAAACAATGGAAGCAGCATTACCTTCAGAAGTCCAGTGTTTAATGCATCCCGTCAGAAGTTCCAAAGAACCTGTCTGCACAACAGCTGACAACACTGCCTCTAACTGCTCCTCCTGAACAGGACAGACAAAAGCAAATCACAACCTCACAGACTTCTCCTCTCAGTCTCACCTTGATAAACACTGCAGCTTCTCTCGGTGACCCATGCAGTAGCCCTCAATCAGACACTACCTGAGCCCCTGACAGAAGTGTTTGCTTCTGACTGGTTACCCACTCAGACATTAGCTGCAAATGCTGCTACTTCCATATTCTTGACTCTTTCTTCATTCTAGACACAGGCTGGACTGCTGGCTGGTTTGAGGAACACAGGAATGTTTTCCTCTGACATTTCAACTTCATGCAGGCTAGTTTCAATCTCCATTTCTGTGCCTCAGGGTTTCAGTCTTCATTTACAGAGTTCCAGTTAACTGTTTCCAGTAACATCCTCTGCTAATACCCATTATGCACTTTGGGCACACCCCTTTGCCATCAGGAGCACGTGAAGGGGACAGAGCAAACACCACTGTGTTTGCATGGAAACAGTGAAGCTGAGGCCAAGCAGCTCCTGAGACTAGCAAGACAGGAAGCAACTTTGACAGCCAAAACATTAAGTTTCAATTTGTTAAAGCACTATAAAGAAGCGAAACATTTCAGTTCTAATGGGCTGGAATTTCAGCCTGTTCAATTACTGTATTCTAATGCCATGGCAGTCCTTGAGAAGGATAATGCACAGGCATGCACACACATGGGAAAGAATGTAGCAGCTAATTCCAGCTGGTGTTCAGACATTTATTTCAGGTGAAATGATCCTGCAAAGAAATTTACATTTTTCTTTTTTTTTCCTTGTCTCTCTTTTTTCTAAAAGATACTCAAAAATATGTTTTCCTTCTAAGTTAAATTATTACATTCAAAGACATTTCTACACATTCTGTCATTTGAAAGCAAGTGTGATACTTCCATTTTTTCTGAAATCTGGTTTCAGACAAAGAAACATGCCAAATACTCCTTAGAGTGGCCAAAGAAATTCAAACCCAAGCTTCTTAACCTAATTCTGAAATTTCTCTTTCTAGCATCAAAAAGCAGTCCCTGCTCAAATGCATAACAAGTCTCTGAACAATATAGTCATAATTCAGGAAATGTCATCATAAAACTTCTTGCTTTCCCAAGTTACTTCCCAACCAGAGTTGACATTAGAATATCTAATGAGAATGTAAGAGCCTACATCAGCCTTGCAAAATATGTATTATGTGGCCTGGGTCAGCTTGCACAGAGGGTTCTTCCAAGTCAAATTCGGAGTTTGGATCTAAGAGTATTATTATTTCTGCTAAATAATGTCAACACCTACCTCTTAGAGCAACTTGCAAGTAAAACTCAGATGGTCATGTCTTGTAGCCCCTACAGCCTTCAGACAAGATGGATATATTTCCCCCTGGATTTTCCAGCATACACTCACCTGACTCAGGCTGGATGGCTGGACATCAACCAGTCTTGGAGACAGCAAGCCAGCTACAAGACACCGAGAGTAGCTGTCACGGATGGCTTCACTTATTAAAGGACCAGATTTCTTCAAAAACTTCAGGGTCTGCAACATCAATCAAAACAGGTTAAGACAGCATTCAATCACAAAGGTTCTGCCTTAAAAACAACAGCCAAACTAATGGTTTCAATTTTTAAAAAAATACCCTGTAGAAGAAAATACCAACCCTTGCAATGCTAAAGGAAGCATTTTCCAGCCTGTCTGTCAATACACAGGCCTGGTATTTTCCCTGACACAAATTACATTTTGTAAAAGTTCAACCTAACACACAACTTTAAATCACACATCTGTGCTTGTTGGTGCTGAAGCTGAAATATTTAGTGAGCTGGAACTTAATTTGAAAGGGTTTGTCAAAAGCTGTGCAGTGGCTCAGAAATTAGAATTTGGCCAAGGTTGAGAGAAAAAACATGCATTTCTTCCTCAACAGTTAAATCACTTTTCCCTCTCTCCATGCTCAAGTTCATCAGGGATCAAGACCCTAACTCCACACCATACAAAGAAGTAAACACTTTCCCCAGCTTCCACCCCACTCGTCCTTTCCAGCCATTCGATCCCTGCTCATGCCTCCCTACAACACTGCCATTTGCATGAAACTGGCACGATATGACTGCAGCTATGCATGGGCATGGGCAGTGTGAGCATCAAGTGGTCTCTGACACTCAAAGCACTGCAAGAGAAAAGTTACAGAGGGTTCATCTCTTGACACTCTCAAGACAATAAAAAAGTCACCTCCTTCTGGAAGCCGGTGCAAGTCATGTGAACAACTCCTGAGCTGAGCAAGCAGGTCACATCTGCAGAAACAAGCAACATTTGACAGACCTTGGCACCTTCTCACCAGTTCATGCTTTATAAATACTGCTGTCTGCAAAGACAAACCTCCAGCACCACTTTTCCTTCATCACATCACTTACACACATCCCATAAAAAGGAGTTACTCTCTGTCTCTAGAAACTTGAGTGCCACCCAGTGCTGTGCTTTGTGCCTCAGCTCAAAGGCATTTCATTTTGGGACCATCACCCCTTCCCAGGCCATGTTACAGAAGCCCCAAAACCCAAAACTCAGCTGCCTGTCAGATATGTTTCACCAGACTAAGTGCCTTGTCAGGACAAGGTAACCAGGTTGGAGAAGGTTTGTGGGGCTTTTTTTGCTTTGGTTTTCATGGGACAAACAATGAACAAGAAAGAGAACCACTCAAGTGGCATTTGACCTCCACCAAAGCTTGCCACTATTCAAATGAAAACCAGTCAAATACCTACCAAAATTATAGGTGCTTGGATTAAAGAACTGTTCAGGCGGTGGATAAGAAGGAGGAACTCCTCGACTCAGACTACGCTCGTGTACCAGAATATCCAAAATGAGGTTTGGAGAAGTCATGCTTATTACAGGATCCAGTGACCACAGGGCAAAATAGGGGCAATCATGAAGGAATTCTTCTGGCCTTAAAGAAAACAAGTGCATATGTTCAATAGCAATTTTCAAATTAACCTTTTGTAGGGATATTGAAACGTCTTAATTAAAACCTACCCTGGTGATTCTGGCATTTGAGCATGATACCAGCGATTGATGTCAAACACTCCCAAATGAACAGATGGTTTTTCTTGACCATAGGTATTCACTTGCCAACTGAAGATTGATACACTGGTGTCAGGAGAGATTACTGTCAAAGACAAGACATTGTTTCTTACTGTAGAAAATATGAGATATTTGCTGTTATTTCATTCATGAAACACAGCTCTTTACTTAGGAATGATAAAAAAATTATGAAATAGCAACCATCTCTGCAATAGATTTCAGTGCCTCTTTTTCTTATTCAAATTATATTTGTTTTAAGCAAAATCAAATACACATTTATTAATTAAGTTTTGCATGCTGAATGAATAATTATTTGGGGGATTTGGGGTTTTTTAATGGGGTGGCTTGTATTCAACAAGCTGTCATGTAGGCTGACAAAACCTTGGTAGTTTTCCACCAGGCACATTTCCAGTCACTTTTCCCTGAGCCTGTAGCATTGCAAAAGGTGTTTGAAACTCCTACAACTGGCCTTGGTCCATCAATCCAGCCTGTGCAGAACCCTCTGCAAAGCCTTCCTACCCTCCAACAGATCAACATTCTTGTTCATGATGGTGCTGTCCCAAACTTACTGAGGGTGCACTTGATCCCCTCATTCAGATCATTGATGAAGATATTTCACAGGACCGGCTCCAGTTCTCAGCCCTGGGGAACTAGATTCACTGGATGCACATTGGATGCAGCCAGAGGTTTGAGCAGGATAAAAAAAAAAATCAGGTAACACTCCTAAGCAACAGAATGATCTTACTGTTCAATGCAGACAACTGGCAGAACAAACTGACTGACCAGCCTTATACAGATGACCCCACACACTGTTCCAGCACCCTAGCAAACATAAAATAAAACCTACTTTTTCCCTTAAAGAATGATGTTCAGAGGGATAAGAAGTCTCACATAACTTAAGCACACAGGTTTTTTTGATAAGCCCAACAAGGTCAGCTAGATGAATATTTAAGACTTTAGGACTGTGGGTACAGAACAGCATTCATTGATCAGATTTCCAAACCATGCAGTTCAGAATAACCAAGCAGGGACATCAGAACAAACCTTCATTAACATTGTCCTCTCTGTCAGCATGGTTGCAAAATTTTTCTATGGTCTGACAGCTGAGGAATTTAGTATTGCTGGTCTGCCCTCTCCAGGGAAAGATTCCACCAGAGAGATCTAAACTGAAGAGCTTGACACAACATGTAAAATCCTGGGGGGAAAAAATTAAGAAGAGAGGAAAGGCAATTTTGAAATAACAATATACATTATACCTAAGTATGAATTAATACAAATATCTGATATAATATGCTTATTTTACTGTATGTTTCCCATCAACAGGAATTACATCTGACATGCAAGAGAATTAAGTGTCAAGTCATAATGAGCAAGTTTTACTCTAAAGGCTTTTGCACATTTTCAAAATTTAGCATTTCCCTAACATTAGTCTAGATCTAAACATATTTTGTAGAATTTCTTGCATTATCAAACTGTCATTACAAACCTGAATATATACTTACAAAGAGACATCTAAAACAATGCAACACACCTTCACACAAAGCCTTTGCTCCATGTTTTGATTACAGAACCTGACATTAGAGCAGCTAAAGTTCTGTCAGGGGACGTTATCGATAGGCACATCAGTAGAGTGCTCACCTCTCTAGTAACAATGAGAACTTCCTAGAGACTTAAAACCTTCTTTCAAAGGTTTTTGAGCTCTTATCAGGGAAATATCCCTCAATTCCTTATGGCGAGGACATGGGATGAACATGGACAATGTGTTTAAGATCCCAAATTACTACAGAGCAAGAAAACTGCCTTGAGATACGCAGAAATAGATATACAGAAAGGATGGCCCTGAACCTCTGCCACCACCATTTTCTAAGGAAGCATTAAATGAAATACTGTCTTTCCAGTACAGCCTTCATTTAACCTGTCTACCAAACAATATGTGAATATGTGTGTACTGTGGACAAATAGCTCTACAATAAAGAAGCCCTACAAAACACCAAACTAAAAAAAAACCAGCAAAACCACTTCCAAGCAAAAAATGAGTTTCCAAAACTTTCAGAGATCTAAAATGAACTGTCATGAAACAACACATTCTCATTCTATACATTTAATTCATTTAATCTGAGAAGAGACAAGCTTTCTCTTAATGGTTCCAGGAAATGCTACAAATGAATATCAAAGGTGTCTAAAAAAATATGAATAAATTAAAAAGTCTTTCATTATTGAAAAGAAAAAATGGTAACATTTGTCCTGAAACATGCACATTCTATTCTATTTTATTCAGAAATTTTGGAAATAACAGATACACATGCACAGTAGTTAAGAAAAACCAAAACCATCTCTTTGAAAAACTAACATGAAGTCTAAGCAAAGAATCTCATCTTATAAAATGACTAAAGATAAAATCAATTTTAATAAAAAATGCAGACCAGAACAAGATGTCCACCATACCAAGGAACAGTTCCATAAGATAAAACACTACAATGCCATAAACTCATCAGGCATTCATTTTAATGACTAGAAATTCCAGCTTTCATTAGTATACAAAGAGCCAACTTAACTGATACTCAGGGAAACTTTATCTTTTAATCTCTCACATACAGGCCTGTCTTACCTCATACATGACTTCTCCTGATGCCAGACATTTCCTGCCACCAAATGCTAACTGCAAGAGATGTAAATTCACAGCATTCCCTTCCCTGAAAAAGGTATAAAAGAGGAGATTTGATTACAAAGCTGCTTTACAATCCTCATTATCAATTTATTAGATCTAGGCTGGATCTAGGCTGAAACTGACTTAAGAGCATGCTTTTGCCGAAAAGAAAAACACTGCTTCCCAATGCATGATAACTGGTCACACTTAGCCAGTAAAACATGAAGGAGGAAATTTTTACACAAACAGCTTCAGGGGCAAATGCTAACTCTGCCTTTGTTTGGAAAGCTTTAATATGCAACATGGACCTAAAACTGTTGTAAAAAGCTTTTCACAGTAAAGCATTCTCCATGAAAACTGCTTTGCAGTCAAGCTCAAGAAGACTGCCAGTCTATAAACAGGCTGGGCTAAGTAGTTTGCTGACACTGGGAGAGCGAGACGTATGTTTGTCCCCTTCCCACCTAAGGTCCAGTGCCTCTCTTGCATGCAGTGCACCCTTCTACACTCTGACTTTTTCCTTATCCCAGCTGGGAGCCATTGATTTGTTTGCTGAACACTGCTCCTTTTCTGCCAGGGAAGCTGAACTTGCACACAAGGACTCCATAGAATTCTGAAGCTCTCATGAAGCAACCAGCAATACTGTCATTGTCCTCTTTTAGGGACAACTCTGTGTGAACAAATATTTAAAAAAAAAAAGCAAAATCAGTGGCCTATTGTAATTTTTATTCACCTTTGTTGTGTAGACTGAACAGCCCATAAGTAGCAACAATTTTGAAGATCATTCTCAGGCTCCTGAAAAGTAAGAGCACAGACAGGAATCCTTCCTCCTCCAAGCTGAGTGTAGTGCCTACAGGTTTGAAAAAAAAATAGAAAAGACAAATAATGGAGGCAAACAAGTGACTACCTTTTATGCAGCAGTCAAGGTGAGGAGATTTCTGTCCATCAAAGCAATAACCTCTGTTTATGTCCTCCTCTGCCTGAGGAGGAGGAACAGAAATGATTAGTTCAGCTGCTAGGGAAAACACTGTTCCTATTGTTGAAGCCTACTTCAACATATTGAACTTAATATGCAGTAAACCTGAACATATTTTAAAAAACACCAAACAGAAGGATCTTCTCATTTCTTTATTTGGGCATTGTAAAAAACATTTTCTTTCAGACTTCTGAACCTTAGCTGTACCTTCACAATCTTTTCCTGACACCTAATTATGCCTCCACTGTCTATTTATGTATCAGTAATTATGGGGAGTAACTGCAGATTTGCTAAAGTAAACCCCTATCTGAATTTTGCCACGTATTTAAAGTTACATTGCTCTTCAGCAGATTTTAGATAATTTCTTAATTTTACTATTGTTTATAAATATATATGCTTCTTATTCTCATCTCCAAGGCTTCCAAGGAAAAATTGGTCCACGTACATCAATGCCTTGGAATAGGTCAGCCCCCTACTTGCATGAAGGCTGAAATGTAGGAAAGAATATGCTTTCAGGCACAGATCAGCTATTGAATTATCATGTCTCACTCATTTTATCCTGGTCCCTTAAAAATATATAATCACCAAAATCACATTATTCAGATACTGAAGCCTTTCAGTGCATACCCTCATTGCAGTAATTGGTTCTAAAAAATAATTTCTAGAACCCGTCTCATGGAAAAACACACATTGCCTTGTTTCACTGAATATGACTGGACAGAACAAACTAACTTAGAAAAATCAGATCTCCCACACCCCTGCTGTCTGACATGTTCAATACATTCCACAAGACCTCCTTGCACAGGCACGGTAAGAAATCAATTGCAGTCCACGGCAGAAAAGGCGCTGTACTTAATCCATGTATGAGTTAATACTTCAGAAGAGGATTTCTGAACACTCCAAGGTTATACCCAACATCCCACTCATGGAAAAAGGGCTCTTGAAATTAATATATTTCCTGAAGCAAAAAATTGAGAACTCTGCACCACCAAGCATGCCAAGTGGAAGTGACTACTTACGCCCTCTTCAAGGTTTTCATGTTCCCCAGTGACAAGTAGCCATCAGAAAATCCCACAATGAGCTGGTTGCTTCTGCTTATGTAGCACAGGGTTGATACAGCTGTTCCTGAAGGACTTCGCAATTGAAAACAGAGATGCCTCCCTTCCCGGGTCACAGCTTCTCTTCTTTGTGGAACTTCAGCAGGAATTCTAGTGACAACTTCTAGATCTACACACATAAAAGCATGGGAGAAATGAATGCATTATGCCACTTCAGTTGCATTTCAAAACTGATGTGATTATATACGTGATACAATGTGTATAATCTAGTTCTTCAAACAAAACACCCATTTTTTCAGCATCTTATTTTGGCTATTCCTGTTTCTGCACCCATTCAGAAAACAGAAGGATTCTCCAATGGGACAGGTATTCTCTCTCCTATTTCAAAACTGGGTACAAATGTAACCATTATAGACAAATTCCTTTATTGGGCCTCATGAGGAAGCTACTTCTAGGGATATGAGCTCCTGAAGCCACTCTCACAACACCCAAAACAGTGTCTGCAATCTGGAAACACAAATTGCAGGATTCATTCACCCAAATGAAGGACTTTTGATAAGCCAGATTTATTTTAAAACACAAGCCTAAAGCCTGCCCCAAGCCATTGACAGAAACAGGAGAACACTCCCAAGGAATCTGGTACCTCTGACACAACATCCTATCACACAGCTGCACTGACTCAAATGGAAAAATTCCTACCTCCCACTGGCAAGAATCACAGGGACAAAGGGGTGTGGGCAGCAAGAGGCCTTCTGAACATCAGGAGGAGCATTAAGCCACTCCCATTTCTGGATCAGTTCAGAACCATACCAAGTCACACTGCTGTCTACAGCCAGCAGTGGGCAAGGTCAGAAATGCCAGCAGCCAGTCAGCACGCCGGCATCTTCATGGGATCCAAGCTGGCTTTTGAAAGGAAACATTTTCTTACACCTAAATTCAAGTTTAAAAAGTGCAGCTTACCCGATGCTTCTACTTCATTCTGACTGCAAGATAAATCATCCAAACAAAGGTCAACCAGAAGGACATGGCCAACATCTGTGGCCACTGCTGCCACTCCAAAGAGCCATCGCAGACTCTGGTGCAGGTGCCGCGTGCTCACGCTGGCTCCGCCGTCATTGCTGATGGGCTCGATGGCAGTCACCTGCAGGGAACTGCAGGTTAATGTCAAAGTCTTTGACAGCCCCAGGAGTAATCCTCAGAAGGGAAGCCAGCATCAGCACATCAGAAACAGGACAGGAAATACAGGATTAGACTTCCATGGGAATGAGACATTCCTAGAAAGGGTTGGAGGGAGATGCTGAATAACTAAAATCTACGCTGGCCCCCACTTTGACAGATAATATCCAACGAAAATTCTAAATGCACACCAGCACTCTTACAGATGGTAGGGAAAACTGTAAAAGGCAGCCTAAACCAACAGCAAGAGACCAAACAAGAACTTGCTCAGCCTGAGGCAGGAGCTCTCTCTGCTCCCTGACAGGCCAGGCACTCCCCATGACCTCAGCACAAGGTGAACAGACCCTTCAGCACCCACAGCACACCCAGGACAACACTGCCTGCTCCAGCAGAGACACAGGCACACCAGGGCTCCTGCACTCGAGGAGCAGGACAACACAGGAACAGGGGCTATCTTCTGGCCTCTTACAAATGCAGCACCATGAAAGCAGACAGCTTTACATCAGCAACAAAGGTCCGTCTGAAACAAAGACATGAGCGTCACAAGGTGGTCCATCTTTTTATGTAGCTTATTTATCCCTAGAAACGGGGGAAAATATCCAAACTTATAGTCCCTGTGAGTTTTTCTTCTCTCCTGTACCAAGCACATGGTTATGACTGTACTGCCTGGCCACCTGCTTCACAATTCATCTTTCACCTTGAACACAAGAACTCCAAGCTTACAGCTACCTCTAGTAAATTCAGGTAACTTTATTTTCTTTTAGAATTCCTATGATTCAAATTAAATTCTTAATCTTCACTGCTGCTCAGAGGACTAACAAGAATATTTTCATTATTCAAATTATTATCCTTCAAGTCTTAGTGACTGTGATGAGGAAATACAGAACACATCTTGCTGCGCAATTAGACAAGGTTCAAGAGTTGCTGCTTCTAACATTTTTCTTTTAAGGTTAATTTTTTTCTTTTTACTTTTAAGGTTATTTTTTTCATTGTACAACTGGATTCAAATGAATCTTTACTAGCTCTGCATAGAGTCTTCCAACAATTTTCCATGTTGAAGCTCCTGAAATGACATATTTTTCCACTATGCTATGCACTGCTTTTACCTATTCTCCTAGTGTACTGCCAACTCATTCTGAGGAAGAACAAAGAAAACGTTTCTCATTCTCTGAATGCTGCCCTTCTGCCTCATGTAAACCAAGAAAATTTGGGAAAATACCATGTGGAAGTCCTGAAACATGCAATCAATATAAACCCACAAGGAAAATAATATCAGAAACATGGTGTCCCTTAGAGCCTTAAAACAAAAATGACAAAAATGCAGAAAGGGGTGTTGAGAAAAAGGCTCTCTTGGAGGATACTCTGAACTGAAAATATGTTAATACAATTCAGAAAACATACAACCTTCAAAGAGCTGCACCAAAGCTTTTCCTGAAACAGGATAATGCAGCACCAAAAAACACAAAACCTTCATTCCCCCAAAAAATACATACCCTTCCTGAAAAAGCAACTGCTTTAACCACTCTTGAGATCCCAAGGTCATAGAGACAGAGAACACTTCCCTCTGCTTCCTCCAAGCCCACCAGGAGCCCAGTCCTCTTCTGCCAAGAGAACTCCTTCACCACGCGGACGGCGGGAGGCTGCTCGTTCACCCCGCTGAAGCGATAGGCAGAGAGACGCTCTCCTGTCACCGAGTTCACCACCTCCAGCTGGGGGCCACACGCCAGCCACGCCAGGCCACTTCTGCCTGCAAGGCAAAAGGAACGGCGCTCACCAAATGCCCAGCAGCACAACTGGAACAGCAGCAACGCCACTGGGCCCTCCCCTCAAATGCAACAAAGGGAAAGGCCAACCTACCTACACCTGGACAATCATTTCAAATCACCCACTGCAGTCCTCAACCAATAATTCTTAAAATTAATAAACCCATTCTTTTGCATCTGTACTTGTCATTCCTGCACTCAGGAACATTCACTCTTTGGGATAAAGATTACAAGAGACTGAGCTCTTGCCTGTACACCATACTTGGCCTGGTTTTGCTAAAAAACACCTAAATATGTACAGGAATACAAGTCTCAAAGCATACTTCAAATACAGCCCATCTAAACCAATTCAGTTCCAGTTTAAGAATTGTGCTTGACACACGACTACTCTGGGCAGGGATTTGGACAGGAAAGTATCTTAAAATGGGCACTGCATGTGTAATTCCAACTTTTACATGACCTGATCCCAGAAAATATTTAACAAGTGGTGTTTCACTCAAGAGTTTAACACTTGCTCCTCTACTGAGGAACTTCAAACTCAAAGGAAGGATGAGCTCCATTACTGCAAGTACAGGCAAGTAGATAAGATTCTACCTGCTCTTAACAGAAGCCCAGACATCCAGACAGGCATCCAGCTCTACTTTCAGATCACCTAGAAAGTCAACTGCCTAATCTGCTTAGCTGTTGTCAGCAACTCTCACTGGGTCCTCAATCTGCATCCTACTAAATACCTATGAAATACATGAGCGGCTAAAAAGAAATTTGTCCCAAAACAACACTATTTCTTCCTTGAAAACTGCCTTCTATTTCATTCAGAACTGAGGAGGGCATGGTCAGCTCTATTATTTAAATAGCACAGGACTGGAGCAGGCTGTTGCACTTTCAATGCTTCTAATTGTTAAAATATCCTGTTAGCACTATCAGAACCTGATGCATTTTACTTAACAGAACTAACCTGATGCCATGACCCTGTGCTTCAGGCAGTAACAACTTCACACCAAATCCAAATTTAAAGGAAAACGCTCACCTCCAGAAAACTTCCCACACAGTGCAGAGTCTAGGGTGATCTCATCCTCCCCAAGTGCCTCAACAGTCACCTCTGGAAACTGCAGCAGACTGCTCGTTACCTGAGCCGTTAGGTCTCGCATTCTTCACTGGAAATAAAGAAAAAAAGGCAAAGGGACTCATGTCAGCCATAAATATCTTTGAGACTGACCCAAGCTTCATCAGTATGCAGAGACAAATCTCCCACACATCGTTTGTAGCTCTTTTTTTGCTCAAATGAAATGGCACTTGGGACAGTTTTTCATCTCACAGCAGAGCAAAAGGACAATCTTGAGCTTTTTCTCATACCTATGAGATCAAGAAAAAGTACACAGAGGGATGAACAAGATAAATAACAGGGAAGAGAACAAGACACCAAGTTCAAGCTTACTCATACAGGTTAGCAAGATGTGATCTCAGAAAAATCATATTTCAAAAAGTTTGTGATTGCCAGGAAGCATAAACCTACAGCAGAAGATAAGAATTAGAAAGGATTTCAGCACTCTATCCCAATAGCTCTCAACAGCTAAGATTCTGTATTAGATGCAGACCAAAGGTTTGATTTTCCTTTAAGTGAGAAAACAAAACCAGCACAAATCAGAATTGGACATTAGGGCAAATTTACCCAGCTATCTGCTGTGTCTCTTGTCTGACATGACTCATTTCATTCAAGAGTTGCAGCCTGTCTAACATGGCTCAGACAGCAATAGTTCCTAAAGTCTGTGCTGAGTCAATGCTTGTCTCTATACTTCCTTTACCTGGACAGACAGACATAGGTGCCAAGGGGCTCAGCATAGAACACAGCAGTGAGGTATTTCACTGCTTGTCCCTCCCAGCACAAGTTCTACAATCTTGGCTTTACAGCAGAATTCTAGAATGGCCTTCTGGAACCACTAGCAGCCATCTCATCCAACTTGAGCTGCTCGTCCAAGCCCTGCTGCTCAAGTCACCACCTAGAGCAGGCTGCCCAAGGCTGTATCCAGGTGGATTTAGAACACTTAATTCTCCAGCAGGTTTTTACAATCAGCAACCTGACAAGAACAACTGCAGCAACACCTGCAACCCATGCAACAGGGCCTGGTGTTCGCTGACTCTCTCCTGCCAGTTTAAGGATTCTGTTCTCTCCACCACACCAGCAAACCAGCATCACACCAGGAAAGGACTGTCACCACTGTTTGTCCAAGGCTACATCTGACACCTTAATTCCCAGAGCAGCCAGCCAGGCAGTCCTTGGCTGCCAGGCAGCAGGGCCGCCTGCAGGAACGCCGCAGCCCGGCTAAGCCGCAGCCATGCCGTTGTCAGGGCCGCGCCGGGCGCACGCTCCGCCTCCACCGGCAGGGCCTGCCCGGGAGCCGGGGCTGGCTGCTCCCAGAAACAACGTATCCATCCATCCATCCGTCCGTCCATCCATCTCCCCGGCACCGGGGCACCCTCGGGCCCGGCAGTCACCACGGAAAGGGGATACTGAACTCTGGGAGAGCATCCAGAGAAGGGCAAGGAAGATGGGCCGAGGGGAGAAGCTGTATGAGGAGTGGCTGAGGTTTCTTGGTCTGTTCAGCCTCAGGAGACTGAGGGGAAACCTCACTGCGGTTACACCTCCCTTGTGAGGGAACAGGAGGGGCAGGCACTGATCTCTGCTCTGTGGTGCCCAGTGACGGGACCTGAGGGAATGGCCTGGAGTTGTGTCAGGGAGGTTTAGGCTGGGTATTAGGAAAAGGTTCTTCACCCAGAGTGGCTGGGCACTGGAACAGCTCCCCAGAGAAGTGGTCACAGCACCAGCCTGACAAAATTCAAGAAATGCTGGCCAATGCTCTGAGGCACATGGTGTGTTTAGGGCCAGAAGTTGGACTTCAATGATCTTTGTGGGTCCCTTCCAACTCAGTTTATTCTGTGATTCTGGGTGAGAGCATCTGCTACATTTTGGTGTTCAGTTCCAGGATGACAGAAATGTAGGTAACACTACATAACACTTCAAACCTATGAACACCAGACACGTGCATTATGCTTAGGTGAATGTTAATAAGGAGAGATAAAAAACCAGACCAGTCTACAACAGTGAATTGGTGAAAACTGATTTTAGTTGCTTCTTTGAGTAAGATCTTACCTGGCCCATGTAACTGTTGGGTCCTGCTGAGATGAGCACACTGTTCTTGTCCTTTAAGGGAGACACCGGGGTCAGAAGCCAGAACAGGTCAGGTCAAAAGCAAAGGTTTTTCAGTGCCCCGGACTCCTGGGATCATATATGCTTGTGCTGTTGCTTTTCACAGAAATCACACACCCACCTCCTGCATCCTTCTCTCACTGTTATTAAAATCCCAGTTGCAGTATCAAAACACAAGCAAGCAGTCATTCACTAATAATTCATGTCTCAATTCAGGTTTAAACCAAGTTCTGCAGCAATGCACAGCACATCAATGCCTGCTGTGAGTCATGACACAGCCAGGGAGGAACTGACCTGAACAGTCACATCAGTAACCATAACTTGCATTTTTCACTCTACCTCACATATTGGTCATCCACACAGCCCAGTGCTGGAAAATGCATTTTATTTTAGTAACTTTAATTCCACAGGAACCACAGAACATTTATCTTTAAGCACATCAAAGGGACTCATTATCTTGACTACTTTGGTGAAAAAAGCATTCCTGGAATGGAAACCCTGAAGCTTGCACAGAAGACAAAAGTACAAAGAAACAAACACTGTCCTATTACCTAAAATTCTATTATTTCAGTATTTTCAGATTAGCCTAGACTAATTGGTTGCAAGCATTGCCTAACTACTCATGAGAACCTGTAGGTTGTTTTCTGCTATAGCTTTATTTTTTCCCCCCACCAGAAATCAACAACTTTGCTATATATTAGTTACATGGGAAGTAATGAAATTGCAGCAAACAAATTTATTGCACTGACAACCCTGAGAGTAGCCTTCCATGAGAGGAAGTTCTGATGGGGGAATAAATAGTTATCTGTGCTCTTACTTGCACACTGGACAGGTACAAATATTAAGGCAAATAAAGTCAACATGAATCAATTAGCACTTCAAGCACTGAGTGCCCATTGAAAGTAAAATAGATTTCATGCTCATTCATGTTATAACCTAGAACAAATACTTTCACCAGCCCTAGCTTATAAACATTTGAAGAAAAGAAAGTTTGTGAGGTAACTCAAGAGAATAATTTCCACTGTAACATTTCTTTTCTTACAAAATAACCTCCAACAGTTCTTAATGTTATTCATACTCCCGTCACTAATATCTCCTGCTGTGTGCTTCCTGGAAATAAAATCTGGCATTGCACCCCATTTTATTCTTCCCGCAAGCTAAGATTCTGCTGTCCCAAGGTGGTCAACCTTCCAGTGGAGTTTTCTCTGGGGTTACACCTCAAAGGTACAGATGCACAATCTGGCTTTAGCTTTTAGCCATCCAGCACCTCTTTAGGGGATAAAAACATTAAGGAATCAAGGAATTACTTCTCTTTCCATAGAAAAACTTCAGAATACTCTATTTAGCAATGAGCTGTAGCTCTTGTGAAACTCCATAGAAAAACTTCAGAATACTCTATTTAGCAATGAGCTGTAGCTCTTGTGAAACTCCCACCTTGTTTGCTGGAAAATTTTAGCTCTATGCCCCCACAGCTTTCTGCATCCATCCACCACCACAATGCATCCCACCTCCTCTCACAGGTCCCTCCTGCCCTTCTCTGGCACTACTGCTCTCTCCCTCTCAGATCCATGTGCAAACAGCTGCAAATCTTTTCCACTCATCCTTCACACATGTAGCAAGCCTCCACAGAAAGCACCCACATAAAGTCTATTTTCTCCACTCCCATTATAAACCCATCCTTGAGCTGGTGCCTTAACAATGTTCCCCTGCTTCTTCCTTTTCTCAGGCTCTAAACAGAGTCACAGTGTCTGGTTTTGCTTCCATTTCCTTCTATGTCCCTCAAATTTCTGTGCCCACTCCATGTTACACATTATGCTCAGGTTCCTTTTCAAACTGCTCCTTGGGGAAACTGGTCTGCACTGGAGAACTGTGCACCAAATCCAAGTTACAACAAAAAAGAAAAAAGAGTAAAACATTTCAACACATAATTAAAACTCCTCTGAAGTAAAAAGTTACTAGAAAAATGCAAACCTTTAGGAAGTAATTAAATCATTGCCAATTGTCTTTTGCTATTGCTTGCTTTCTTCCTAAGCACAGACAAATGAGGATATTTTAGCTGAGGTGTAAATAAAATAGACGCTAAAAACTAATAAAATCAGCTAATGCTATATTTTCATTTTTTCTAAATAATTCATACAAAAAATATACATATATAAGTATAAATTACAGAAATGCATCAAAACCCTACTAAGCAATCTTCACTAGCATTTCATCAGTCAATTCGACAATAATCAGAGTATTTTATAAAAGAAGTCAGATTTGTCATCTCTATTCTATTCAAATATTGAAATTTTGACCTTTTACCCCATTTTGAGCTATTGACTGCACTTCTGAGAAATGTGAATATAAAAATTGCTAAACTTCCCTCCCCTTTCCTCTTTGACCATATTTATAGTCACTCATGTACAAAATAAACAGAAAAAATAATTACTAACTTGACTCAAAGGTCTCAATTTGCTGCCACTTTCACATTTTTAACTTTTGACTTTTTTTTTTTAAGCTTTCATTCAGTCATGAATACTTCCCCAAGGAGAAAAATATTCAAGTGCATGCAATTGCTTCTCTAGAATGATCTGTTCTGAGATAGAAAAATCACAGCCCCAGAACAATCTTCTTTCACAAGCTTAGTCTGTTATTAATACATTCATTCACTATGTACAAGCTATTAGTTAATAAATAACTTATGTCTTGAAGAACTGTAGTTGCTTTTACTAATTGAAAAGTTTAATATCAGGTTCCACCATTCTGTAGTCTTCAAAGTTGCATCCATATATAAATTAACATACAGAAAAATAATCCATTGTCTAAAAGACTGCACATCAAAATAGTACTTCCATGTCTGCTTTTAAAAGAATAGGTTTGTGACTTTATTTATACAAATTGAAACTTTATAGGGACATATACTCCTTAACCCAACACTGTTAATGAAATAATTATTCAAAAAT